CTTTAATCTTTTGTCATATGTAGATGGACATTTCTATCTGTTATTGATTTGTTAAGGGTAGTAAGGTGTGTTTTTTTCTAAGTTGAAAGGAGGATCTGTTTTGATTTGCAAACAATTTCAAATATCCTTCCCAATGGGTCCTCTCTATGAACGGAAACATTCTGCCACTAGTTGTTGAATTTAACACCAATGAGAGATTTGATCAAATAAGGACACCGGGCCAACACTTATCCTCATAAACGGCACAATATACTCATTAATGTTGGGCTTTTGCTTCTTTTCGGTATTTTTCTCTCCCATCTTATAGCCAATTCAGTGATAAACCTCTCTGCTGTGGGATATGTGTCAACTTTTACAGACTAGAAATTTGTTTTGTTGAAATCATCACCACACAGCTTATCATTTTGGTCCTATATTTGACCATACTTCTGCATTTTACGCAAACACACAAGACCCTCTGGCCCAGCTTCGCTCACAGCTTCATGCTCTCATGAAAGAACCACATTTTGCCATGGTCTGAAACCTGCTTTTTATCTACAAACAATTTGTGGCTTTTCTTAAGCTTTGAAACTCTTGCTTGGTGTTTTCTGATATCCTATTAACAAATATCTCCACACTTCTGTATACACTGCTGTGAGAGCACCTGAAAAGGTCACAGAAATGACTGACATTTTGATTGATGAGTATGTTTTACATCCTTGTGAAGCCCTGAGGTAAAATTTCCAAAGTCTTTAAAGTACCCAACGATAATTATTGAGATGCTCCCATAACGACTGACATCTTTAAAGCACCTTACAGAAATGGCACAGCGGAAAACAGAGCACAGGAAAAACATGAGCAACAAGTAGGAACAAATACCCCCCTCCCCACACACACACACAACACAGTGGACACAATGGAGTATGACTGGTATTAGTATATCACGAGCAAATATCGCTGAAGTCATGACGAATAAATCTCATTCACCTTGTTCTGTCTCAAGCACACATAAATTGATGGGTCGAAAGAAAAATAAATGCGGGATATCAAGTTTTCTGACTTGGATGGGGCTAAAACATCTCTGTTATTTTCCTCAACATCACAAGAAAGTTCAGGAAATGCCTTTTACCAATTGAAAACAAAAATGACTCACCATCCTTACTGATTTATTCTTATTTATTTAACGTTTTAGAAATATCTGATGCTATTAATGAAACATGTGAGTCAATTCAGGCCTTTTAGTGTCTTTATTATGGATGCAGGATTGACTTCTAATGTGCTGTTAGTAAAGTTGAGTCGGAACAGCAATGGAAAGAGGGAAAATGGCAGAACTACACACTCCCAGTATTAACAATTCCTCTGTGGAGGTGATGATTCATGTGTCTGTTCTATTGTTCCCAACAAATGACAGACACAATTCTTTCTTTTCCTCTTCTAGAAGAAATTTCATGTCCAAAAAGAATTTAGATGCACTCAGGACGTAAAAAGTGCCAAACCAATGAAACGACAGGTGGAACCGAGAAGAAAAGGCACTATAGAAATACATTTGATATATCTAAAACATAAAGTGGATAGAACTGAGCAAGTGGATATTTTTGTTTTTCTGAAATTACACAAGATCAACCTGAGAATTTAAAATGATTACTAGTTTTGGATCCTCTCGGGCCATAAAACCGCACAGCCCTTTAATGAACCAAGTCGGGATCAAAAGGGAGTAAAGGAGACATAAAGCTCTTCTGCTGCCTCTCTGCTGCAGGGATGATAGTATTTCACCAAGGGTGGAAAAAAAACTTCTAAAGCTGCCTCTTTTACTGCTTCTAATATATAATTTGTTGCCAAGCAACCATGGCTTATAAGAGTCCCTAGTGAATAATATTTCCTCTTTTGTGTTCTGGGCAGCGTGATCTAAGCACTACAGACCTCTGCAGTTGTCAGACATCCCTGGTTCTTCCCATCTGAAGGATGAGTGAGGCATTTAATTCAGATGTAGGATTGATGCACATTTTATGCAGTTTTTTTTACAGAAATGCATGCTTTTTTATACTGTTCACACTCTTGTATTTGCACTCTTTCTCACCAGTTTGAGAAGGAGACCACGGTTAAATCTTTCTGATGTGTTGACTTTCCATAAACCTGCCTCCTCTCTTACCCAGAACCAGAGTACAAGATGCCTTTCTGGAACATACTATTACATTAAGGCTCTCTGAGGTGAGAAATCGGTTCCTCTAACTTTAAATTGATTCAGCCTTACTTCTAGACGATGTTAAATTCTCATTTAAAATGGAGGAATGGAAAGAGAACTACAGTTTTCACTGCCGTCTGCCAATCCTGCTGGAGAGTTCCAGAGTTTATCTCATTACAAGAGATGCTATATTTGTATGTAGATGTGAATTGAACTCTTTACAATCACAAATGTAGCCATCAGCTGAGGATAGGATGCACCCTCTTATTCTTTAGTTTTTTTATCTCAATATGGCCAGTGTTCATAAGTGTGAATGGACCACAGCATTGTAAAAAATGTAGTCTAGTCAGATGAAAAATGGTCAAGATATACAATTATGAATAACAGGTCTGCCCAGTTTAAGCTCTGTTTTGGAAGCATAAAGTTTAAAGCAACTGGGTGTTCTGTGACTTCTTCCTTTTCATTTAGCTGCAGACATAAGTGGTACTCTGAAGTGTTCCAGTGTTACACTCACTTCACAAGAGTGGAATCATATAAACATCAACAAATCAAATGTCCCCTCAGCACAATATCACTCAGTTTGCATACCAAATGCCAACAAGCAGAAGATGGTCAGATAAAAAAAAACATCTGAATAAATGCGCACCTCCCTTCCCCATTCCTGTGTAAGTATTTGCGTGTGTATAATTTGCTTGTGGCAGCATCTATTCAGTCACCAACAATGAAACCATTCGAGAAAAAGCTGGCACACAAGCAGTCCAACCTAAAATGTTTCACAGTTTAATTTGAGGACAGTCTTTGGGCATCTTTTTAAATGTCGTTTCAGCTCTTGTAATTGAAAATGTGAACAGAATCATGCTAAATGTTTTCAATTCAGTGTTTTCTTCCCTCCCTGGCGTGCAGAGGGGGGTGGGTGGGGGTGGGGGGGGGTCAACTGTAGATGAACTGTCACAATGTTATGTCTTAATATCAAATAGTGCATTAAATCATGAGCTGACAAACAGGTCATATGACAGAAGTGCCTCCTTAGACAAAGGAAGTGAATAGTGATTAAACACATGACATCATTCAGTAGTTCACACACACAAAGAACAGCAATAGCAATGTTTTCGATTTTGTGAAAAAGACAACAAATAAATAAAAAGACAATCTTGAGTCTCAGTGACAGAGTGATTATGTACTTATTCTCTGTGATTTGTAAACAAAACACACACAGACACACTTGCACTCTAAATCTACTTTTCTGTTTTGGTTATACTAATCAATTTTTTTAGCCTCATTTCATTGGTGTACTTTATATATATTATCAATCTCATATATGTACTCATATTTACAGATCTTATCAATGGAAGAAGTGTAGATTATCTTTTGTAATTTCTGGTCAAAGCTAAGAGAAAGAACTAAACAAAGTTACTAATTTTACTCTTCTCAAAGTGCAAGACTGTGAAGGGGGGAAAGTGCATGGGTCTGGCCAAGGAATCACTCAACAAACGCCATCATATTTCAGTACAATGAATTCACACATCAAACCATGCTAATAGTGCACGCCAATACGTTTCACATAAAACCTTAAAGCCACAGACAGCAGTGTTGCACAATTATAGCTTGGAATGTGAGAGGAGGACTTTCCTAAAGATTGTACGGAGAGTAATGCTCACAGTTAGGTAATATTACTTGAAAAACTGTAAAGAGTTTTAAAAAAAAACAAGGTGGCGTCTTATTTAAGTAGTCAGTGTTAAAACCAACAACAAAGCGTTTCATACACAGCAAGATCTGATTCCGCTCTGTAAGTCACTTTTTATTCATTTCAATAAATGTAAGAAAACACAACTGTCGTAACCCATGAGCACTGCAGTTGTTGCCTAGCAACACTGGAACTTTTGGACAAGCTTTGCCCTGCAAAGCTAAGGTACAGTTACCTGTGTTGAAACTGCACTGAATCCGATTAGTTTGCTGCCAATAACAGAAGCAATTCACAGTGTTTGTGATGATGAAAGCTAGCAAAAGACTTTTCGACTATTTTTTGGGCTCCTCTGGTTTGGGCAGCTGCCTTGGTGACACACTACTGTGTGGGGCTTCATGTCGAATGACAGTCTTCTTCTAGCACAGACACTACGCAGCAAAACAACACGTCTGGGTCACAGAAGCCATACATTTACATCCTCAACGTCACGCACACGAATGGCAGCGCAACTCACTAAACACATACGCACAAACTATTTTTCAGAGCTCTGCCGGCGCAAAAATCATTTTCACATCGAACAAGAGAAGATCACAATCCAGGTTCTTCATGCATGCAGTGTGTCCTGTTCACTAAAATTTTGTTACAGGGTCACAGGGGTTTGCGGAGGGAAACACTGAGTAACATCTGGCCTCTTAGCCTGACTACTGTGATGTTGAGTCCTTGAACAGGACACCTATTCAGGTTTATTTTGAATGACTTCACTCAGACGTAAGTTAAAACATGAAGCTGACATCATTTCGAAGTTAAATCTCCCCTGTTTAGCTTTTCCTCCCTCCATCCCTGCTTGTGATACAGCTCCTGTTAACAAACCTTTAATAAATCTTTGTGGTTAATAGTTGCAGCTGAGTCAGGTCCATCCCATGACTCATGAAAATTGTGTAGTGTAGTTGTGTGTTAGTGAATATTTACAGGACTACAAAAAGGAAAAAAATAAATATATATAGGAAGGGAAACAAGGGCTTGGCACTGCTTCAGTATAATCACATAAACACAGACCGAGGAGTCTGGACAACCGGGTTGTGGAAATGAAAGTGTGGGGATTGTGTTTGTGTGGTTTTGCAGTGAGCTGCTTCTATCTTCATCAGCCAATTCTCCTCACTGAGTGGGGGAGCAGTCGTCCAGATCCAGCAGCTCTCTGACCAGTCTCTCCCCAAACTGCGCTCGGCTGTAGCGTTTGACAGTGTAGGCGTCGGACATCTTGTAGAGGATGTACGCATTGTTGATGGCGATGCTTATGGTCAGCCAGAACACCTGCTGCCAGGTCTTGTTTGGCTTGTGGAAGATAAAGTACCTGTGAGACGAGACAAAAATAGAGGCTGAATCTACATTTAGTCCAAACACTTGTCGGACCTGATCAGTTATCATTTCTACTTTAAATGGCAGCAGGAAGTTACAGATCCTAAAATATCTGTTGAAACACTCGCTGTTTAGCAAAAATAACCCTCTTGTGGCAGCATATTCTAGGTCTAAAACTGCTGCATCACCTTGAATAAATCATTACTTCATCAACGTCACACATACTTGCTGTACTTGTCATCATATTTGCAGATGTAGCTGAGGTGGGCTGCAAAGGCCTCCACAGCCAAAGGACATGGGATCTCCCCACTTTTCCTCTTGATGATGATACCTGCCATGAAGACACAGAGTATAAAAATACAGGTCCCACTAAGATTTAGAAGAAATTGTGGTCAGCTAGATGAAAACCAGATGGGCAAAAGCAGGAAGTCATGTCATCACATTTTTTCTGATTGTCTGATTTCTCATTGGTTCACAGGAGGCTGCTTTGTCATTTTCACAACAGTTCATTTATGAAGTGGTCTTTTAACATTAGTCTGACTATCTATGATAGTCAGATCTCATGTTTAATAATTGGATTGTTATTTATTTTATTTTAGTACAGTTTTGCTGTGTTGTGCAAAAGAAAAAAAAGTCAGGATGTGATCTGTTCTGTTTTTAAAGCAGTGCCTCCACACACACCTAAACAATAGTACACACTCTAAGCAAAGAAAATCAATTCTGGATAGCAAGAGTTTAACTGATGTGGGGGCTCACTTCCACACTCCTCCATCACACGGCATAGCCACACACTGCAGCCCTCAACAGGCTCTAAAACCTAACTAAACTGTTGAATCAAGAGCGGATTATGCTGTACGAGGAGGAGCACACCATGATCCTGTCCCTCTCCTGAAAATGGATTATCAGGGATTAGAAGCTCTCATTGATTCTTCCTGACAGGAATGTTTAATCACGGACCAATTTCCCTGGATTGTAACTTCATTTCACAATGACAGCGAAGCTAATTTGAACTGGAAATAGTCACTTACTACAGTGGCTATAATTACCATAGTCCAAATTCTTTGTGTTTCGTGCAGTGTTGTAAATTGAAAGTATAGAATAGAGATATTCTCATAAAATAAAGACCTTCATAATTACAGAGGCCAAGTCAGAAATGCATGCACATACTGTAATGAGCTTAATCCCTTATGTACCTTGTTTTGTAGGGGAATAGGCATTGGTAAGGAACCTGAAGTGTCCCTTGTTGTACCAGCTGATCAGGGACATGCTGCCTTTCATCATCACGCGGGACTGGCCGCGCTGCGCCGGCGTGGACCCGCAGACCAGCATGCTTTGTGGTAAGCCTGTGCAGTCGCTCTTCCTGGTGCTAAGCAAACCACAGCAAAAGATATCTGAGGGAGGACAGGAATAGAGGCGTTCTTGTTAGTACAAATAACCATGGAGCACTTTATCCCACCTGCACTGTAACAGATGCAGTTTTCATTTTATCTCCACATGCAGATCGTCAGAAAATAAACAAACAGCTGTTTTAGTATGTTGGTGGTTTTTCATGTTGCTAATGGGCTCTTTTTGCAGTTCTGACTTCATGAAAATACATCTATACATATCAGCTGGACCTTTGTAAAACTATGATGGCCATTTCTCTTCATTCCTTTACTTTATTCAGCAAGCACATCCATTTCCTGATAAAACAATCAGCCAGGCAAATAAGGATAATCTGATGCACAAAAATAACCCAACACAAACCTGAATTGTTTAGCAGGATTTCGATCAGTCACAGCTCTGACTTCTCCGTCTCTGTATTTCTTATCCAGATGTGCAGTGCTGAAACAATTATGTGGCTGACTGCTGCTGATTTGTCAGCGCTCTCACTCTGAAAAATTATTTCTATCTGCGTAGTTCATGTGTGCGTGTCCAATAGTGAGTGCAGCAGAATAATCCAAAGTAATTAACTCTACTGATTAATCCTAAAAGATATATTCTTTCTTTCTCGCTTTCATTTATTAATTTATTAATTTGTTTAACATTTTCTGATAGCCTCAGCTAATTAGCCTGCAAAGACTGGTCATATCTCTGGCCTTCTTTTCTTTACTTTACTTGGCGTATGACTGCTCCCCTAGTCTTTATTGTGTGTGTGAGGGGGGAGTTCTGGTTTTTGCCTTTTATGTTTTCTAAGTCCTTTATTCGATCAAATCTTCCACTCTTGTGCTTTTATCTTGAGCGCCGGGGCAGAAAGAAGAGTGAGAGAACTCCTCTTCAAGCCATTTTTTAAATATACTGCTAGCTTTCCATATTTCTGGCAGGCGTGAATCCTGCCTCCCTCTCACTCAAAGCCTAAATGGAAGAAACCTGTCCTCAGTTCACTCAGTCCCCACTTGTTCCGAGCTTGGCTCCCCTCTGCAAAGCCTCCTCCCTCACCTGGCTGTCCTCCCTGGCTCCTACATCTTTGCGGGAACCCTGAAGCTGTCCTTCTTATTCTACTCTCTGCGTCCCTTCTGTGAAAAACTCTTCTCAGCTCATTGCTAGTTTTTATCGAACAATTTTTGAATGAGCACTGCGTTGATGAAGGTCCCAGTGTCCAGCCTGCGTGTTCTGCCTCTCTGACTTGACATAATATTTCTAACAATGTGACTGATTCAGATGTGACAATATGCTTAGGTTCCATATTAAAGAGTCCTTTCCTAAAGTAGGCATGAAAACCAGAGCAAAATCTGCATCATTATTAGCATAATTAACCCCCGGGTAAATTCCTACATGTCTTTTGAAATGGCTTCTAATATTACTTACTGCAGATGTGAGTCATCCTCTCTTAGTTTTTAAGGCTTTTAATGCTATCAAAAAGCACTATTAGAAATTACAGATTAAAAAAACAAACAGAGGGGGACAGAGATGAGGATTGAGACTGAGAGTGGGTGAATATACGGGACAGACCAATGCTTCCTCTGCCCACTGTATACCTTGTTTGCTGAATTCAGTGAAGAGGCTAAGGCTTGTGATGGATGGTCCAGTGAAGATGATGGTGTTCCTGCCAGAAATATTCTGACACAGCTGCTTGGCAACGAGGCTATGGAGCTGAGGTTTGTTCTTCAAGGTGGCCAGGCCGTCTGTGCCCTGCCCCTCTTTCAGATGGACAGAGATCTGCCAAGTGGGAGAAACCAGACAGGACATAGAAATAACAGAGAAGCATCAAATGTCATTGTTGTTATCATTTGGGTAATTTTATAATTTTTTCCTGGTTTATTTAAAAAATCTGGATTATCTATGGAGCCACAATGTCCATATTCTTGGTCGATGCAGAGGTTAAACCATAGTTTAAGCCAGTTTAGTTTTGGATGTAAGGCACAGGTCACCGTGCTGTCATTCTTTCCCTGTCTGTTGGATAAAAAGAGATAAGAGATATTCGAACAAATTCAGCAATTTAATGAGAGCAGACTTCCATAGAAAGTGGACAGTGATAACAAAAGGCTCCATTCCTTTTGACATGCAACAACCTAAATAGAGCAAACTGAATCTTTCAGAGTTTTTCTAAAAAGCAGTGAGAGAAGTTGTTGAGGTTTAACTCCCCACTAACACAACTGTGCCATGATAAACACTGCACTGCTTTCCCAATGGATTCACAGACAAGTTAACAATAGTTGTATTGTGCTGTGAGCAAAAAAAACAACAAAGATGTGCAGAGCAGACATATGCTGACTCCCATCTGAACAGAACTTTGATGAACATAGAAGAGACGAAGAAGCTGCAGCACCTTTACAGAAGTGGAATTAATATAGTGTCCCATATATGTCCAAATACCGGAAATTGTCCGAAATTGTAACTGAACAAAAATAAATAAATCTGAAACTTTACAAGGATCAAAATGATTTCCTCTACACTCAGAAACATTATTTGGTGTTTGACTTCTAAAGAAACCCACCATCGAATTTGAATAAAGAAAAATATTCAAATATCTGCTGAGCTGATAGGCCATTATTAACCTGATTAGATAGCACCTAAGTTTGCCTTGCAGCTATTACACTAAGTGGTCAGTCCACGCATCTGTGATTGTGTGTACATACAAACATTGTGTTTCCCTCTGTTGTGCACTGGCTAATGGGATCTCATTGATTCGCTTCACTAACTCATTTTATTGCTTAGATTTCTTCGCTGACCCTTGACAGTTTGTGAGCAGAGAAAATCTCAGCGGGGATGCACGTCAGCAAACAACAGGCGGGGAATATGAGTTAATTCCAATGGCTGCAGTTACTACAGATGCTAAAGCTCATTTGTTAAATGGAGGGCTTAATGGAATATGGCTTTGAATGACAATAGTCTGGGATGCTTTTTCCATTTAGCTTTGTTATTACACAGAAAAAGTGGGATTACAAGAAATATCGGGCATAGCTAAATGAAGCATTTCATATTCGGTAAACAGTTTCGCAAAAAAAAAAAAAAAAGGAAATGGGCAAATTAACATTCTGTTTGTCGTCTCCTCTCTGCCCACTAATGCAACTCTGGAGTGTGTCCTGGCAGAAGAGAGGAACTTTCCCTGCAGTTTTTTTCCAATTCTATGCCAGACATAATTTTATTTATGGTTCCTGTATTTTTGCACCCTGGTCATTGTTCAGGGTTTGGTTTTCTATTGAAAATGTCTGATCGGTTAGAGAGCTGTGGGTAAAGTGTATGCATGCGTTTTTAAAGGCATAAGTGTAGCTGTGAAACCTGTATTCTTCTCTCGTGTCTGTTGATGCTCTCATCTCTGCCCTTGCCTGTATTTCCATCTTGTGGATCATCTAATCGAGTTTTTACTCAGTTTTGGATCTTCTCGCTTTCCCAGAAGTATCTCATCTTCAAATCTCATAAAATCTTCACAGCCATTGTTGGTTTGGCAGGACTTAAGAAAGGGTTTTTGATTCCTTTCCAAAAAATATTTTCCTGGAATATCCATTATATTGATTGTCCCATAAAAATGTAAAGACAATCATTTTCATGATTGAATTTTATGATAGATAAAATCAGGAAGCACTGAGGCAAAATAACTTGTTATGTATTTAGACATGCCCTTTCCTAATCCGGTGACCTGTAGAACACAATTTGTTGTGTGATTTTCTTTCTCAGATGACCAGCATATCCAGCTCTAATAAAGTCTGTGAAATTAATCTAACAGGCAAACTTCATGTCTTAGTCTAAAACACACAACTTTACAGACTGTAACACATCACACTGTGGCTCTGACACTGACAGCAACATACAAAAAAGATGGGACTGATCAATTTTTAATAGTCTGCATGACAGCTGGCAGCTCACTCTCAGTCCTGCTGTGTGGGACTGTCTCCTCTGATCTAGTCTAAAATAAACACGACTAATTATCTCAGAAAGTTGTGCTTAGCCACTGTGGCCCAACACAGCTTGCAAATTACAGTGTAGTGCCGTATCTTCATCATAGCACTGCTCATAGGGAGGAAGCAGGTCTTAGAGGATTTAATTTGACTCATTGCGCTATGGGTAAACATGCACCTGAATGGATTAGGGAGGGAAAATCTCTGCTCTGCTCTCTGTTGTCAGTGATATGGTGTTGTTTGTTTTCAGTTCATGTCATGAAATTTCTTCTAGATTTCCAGTGGATGAGTGAAAAGGCCCAGCTTTGACAACGTTATCAGTCAGTGTTTTATTATGATCTCAAACTACAAAGCATATGTTATCACATGTTATGCTTGGAATCTGAGTTACTGACAACCAAAATAATTATCCGTGGGGGACAGTGGTTCAACTAAGTAACTAGGACGCTGCTTCACCAGAAGACATGTTGATGCTGAATGTTTAATGTGATTTGATTTTCTAAGCAAAATCCCATTCATGTTGCAGAGGCACACTCCTCCTAGCTCACCACCTCTGAGATAAATGCAGCGAGTCGTGTCAGGAATACAAATGCAAAGGTTTGCATGTGTTCTGGAGTGACTGGAAGACCTGCCCGTGTTATGTTATGACTGAACAACCTGCAGGGCAGAAGGGAAATAACTCTGGCCAGCATGCGGTTTAAAGTCTGACAGGTAAATAGTTGGGGTGAATTGGTGGTTTCTTATCCTGTGTGATGATTGTATTGGTTTGAGTTGGACAGGTCTGTCAGTCCTCCTGCAGAGTCGGGCCTCAGCTAATCAGTGTTGTTACATAAGCGAGCGTAGGAGTGGAAGGTTGCATCCAGGGCAAGGTTGTTAGTCAGCAGAGCATCTCTGCCCAGCTGAGATGGGGAAACAAAGCTTTCAACCTGATTCACTAGATACTCTGCTCTAAAAAAAAACACCAAAGGAAGAATCCCATAGCTGGTATTTTTTTATCTGGAATACATTTCTCCTTTACAGACAAGAATGATCAGAGTCAGATACATGGACCGATGTGAAAATGTAAGATACCGTATGTGATATTGTTCTTTGCAGAATTGAAGTATCTGGCCGAGTGCAACATAATGCAACATCAACAATCTGAGTGTGGAAATCCGATTTAGATTGAAGCTTGTGATGTGTTCGTAAAAGCCGTTCTTTTTTTTTTTTTTACTTCTGGCAGATTTGAAACTTCTCTCTCACATATTATATTTTTGCCACAAAAAATTCAAAGCAGCTATTAAGGTTGACACGCATCATCCCATCAGTCCTTCAAACTGTTAGTGCTGCTGCAGGATCATTGTGTCTCTAACCTGACAGATGAATCCAGTGGAGGTGCACTGTCGAACCCAGAGGCTGAACTTCCTCTTCTTTCTCTTCCTCAGCTCTCTTTCTGTACAGGTTGTGATGAATACAGGGTCCTCATCAATCAAGGGCTCATGAAGAACCTGAAAATGCAAAGACAATAGTATCGTTCATGTACATGTCCATGTCCATGTCCATATTCCATATTCCAACTTCACAAAGATTCCCAGGAATTCAAATAGCCTGCGATGTAGTAATCAAAGCAGTTAAAAGATAAGACACAGCTTTAAACTGTTATCTAATACAACTGAATGACAGAGGTCTAGTCACCATTAGGAAGTTTAAATTAAAGACAAATACCATTTTCCATCCACAAAACACAAGGCCTGTTGTGTTAGCAGCTCCACAGCCAGGTAAAAAGGTGCATCAGCTATCTAATATTAAAACACAACCGACATTTGCATTTCAAATTGCTCCCCACTCTTCCTTCCTCTGGCATCTTCCCTGCCTTCTCTTCACTGTTCACCATGATTTGACTGCAGCTGAAGCCGGTGTGGACCTGCAGCCCGGCCCTGCCGCAGCTCCGACAGCAGCACGGCATTTCCCAGTCAAATGTGGAGATATGGATTATTGAACAAATAAAGAGGCTATCCAGCCAGTGGATGGATTACAGCACTAAACCACAATGGCCTTTTAAGACTTATCTCATTTATCTTCTGTCACAAATTAGAACGGTGACAGATCGTGCAGCTTCTCTGTGGCTCTTTGGCTCAGCCTAATTCTGAGAACAAGCAGGTTGCATTTATACAGGGAGTCCTTCGTATGGGTTCATTAAGCCCATATTGAATAAAGACAGAAAGATAACGCATTTATCAACTCAGTCGTGCAGCATTTCTGTGAGGACTGCAACCAACTTTCCTAAAGATTGTAGACCTGCAAACTCATTTGAAACAGTGTAACTTCGCCAGACTGGCACAGGAAATATAAAGCACCCACTGTGAGAGAAACTGATATGCCATTTTTATATTCAAAATTTCCTCTTCAACCACTGGAGCACTAAAAACCAAAGCCTGGTTGATTCCTCTGGATATTTAATATATTTTGATCTTAGTTTTTTGCTTTGACCAGGTCAGGATCTGCATGCCTAACTGTGACTGCAATGAAAAGTACTTTAAACAGCCAGTAACTTGGCAGCTTAGTTTTTTACCTCCTGTCTTTTTTTGACACCAAAACAAAAATATATATATTTAAAATGATAATGAATAAACTACTTCCTCTCTTGAAGCACTAGTTTCAGTCTGTGCCACACAGCATATATGCCCACTCTGCCCCTGGCACAAATACACAAATGATAAAAAAAAAAAATTGGCCTGGAAACACTCAAAGACTGACCTCACTCACACACGCTGTGTGACAGCTCGTCCGACCCGACCTCAATGCCAAAAATGTTGGCCTTTTTTATTTATGGATAAGAAAGCTTTTGCATGAAACCATATTTACCTCAAACACCAATCACATCCTAATCAGACCAGCTCCACATTTTCTAGGCCTAAAACATTTCATGGAGACATTGTATCGATTAGTTGGAGGTGTGAGGATTGTTGCTCATCAATAATATATACCAGCCACCCTTTGATATGTTTCCACGTGACAATGACCTCACACCAGTAATACTTTACAAAGTAAGAGGAACATCCTACATCTACGACACCAAAAATACATTTTTCACACCTTATAGATAAGAAATTATAGATTTAAATCATTCTCAATCTATTGTGTATTATATTAATCCTGAAATGTGTCTGACCTCAATCTGTAAATTAAGGCTTTCTGACTTACTTTCTGAATTCCTTGAAAAGGTATTTAGTAGATGGAATCTAATAAACTTCATGTCAGCTATAATTTAAATTGTGCTGATCCCTAAAGCCCAGAGAGCTGTTACAGAACAAACTTCACCTTCAAACATTAACAACCGAGAAGGAGTCACTACTCCGCCAACTGGCAGGGCAAGCGAATGCATAATCAGTCTGAGAATGAAATACCACTTTATGCAAATGACTGCACCTTGCCATCTCAAAATATCAAAAGTTGGAGCCCTGTACATACCTGTGTCTGCGAAGGCCTGAAGGTGCAGCTGAATGACTGCTGCAGTGAGTCCAGGAAGGGCTGGATCTTGTACAGGCCCTGGTTGCTTCCCTGTGAAGGCCTGAAAGCCACAATGTGGAAGTACTTGAGGATCTTCTCGAAGCGCGACTGGCTCATCTTCAGGGCGATGCTCCGGTTGCTGAAGAAGCCCGAGCTCCAGATGCTGAGAACCGACTCGCAGCGGTGCACGCTGGTTGAGGTGACGAAGCCCAGGAATGCCTTCATCTCCTGGGCTGTGACGGGATACCAGCCTTCATCGGAGCCGAAGCGCTCCTGAAACTTCTTAGCATACATGTTTGTTTGGACCACCATATTCTGGATGCAGTTGTCCGGAACAAAGAGCTGGAAGAAGTCCAAGGCTGTGGCAGTGGTCGGCATCTTCTGAGCAGGACCTTGATCAGAAAATAAAAGCCAACATTAATGCAAAGGAAACAGGCCTGGTCGACCCACAAACAGTTCTGTTATTTCCAGTTTGACAGATTTTGATAAATAAAAAGTTTTCAACAAGGATAAAAATTGTATTTTGTTGAGCTGTTGCTGTCAAGGCTGAGCATGACGCAAACTGTTTCTTCCATCAAATAAACTGTCTGCTTCAGAGAATACAACAGCAACAGAATAAAGGCTTTTTCATGCGTGGGCCCTGGAAGCTGCTGGTATCGATGTCAAAAGCCTAGAGCAGCAGCTGAAAAGTTTACAGGACTTGACAGCCACCACACGGTGACGCTTGTCACAGAGTGGCATCCCTCTGTTTGCCGAAGGTTTCAGTGTCTCATTACTTTAGTGATATGGCAGGCAACAAGTCCAAATCATGTCCAACTGGAGTCAAATCAGGACAAAAAACCTGATGTCTGTCAACACAGCCTCAGCTGATGAGAGATGGCCCATTTAATGTTTTTTTACAGGCACAAAAAAACGCAGAATGTTCCTGAGCTATTCTGAAATTCGAATTTGAATAAAAAATAATCCTTCATACGGAAACATCAGGAGCACCTGAACACGGCATGTGCTGACAAGCGACCGGCGTGTTTGCTGATGGCGTTGGATATTTGGTTGAAGTGGATGAAGACAGGCGTGGTTCAGCAGTTCAAACTGTTAGCTGTTACACAGTTAAGCTATTCAATCCGAGGAAAGAACAATGACTTAGACTAGCTTAGTTGAAATAAACACAGTTGCTTGTTAATGGATGAAAAACTCTATGCTGAAATCAATACTGGACCGGGTGCAACACAACACCAATCAGATGTTGTGCTTTTAGTTTTAATGTTTTTATTTAATCAAAATAAAACTTACTTGTAAATAGCTTTTTATACTTTGATATAATGAAATACTGTCCGAGCATTAATAAGACACGATAAAATACTTTCATTACAATCTGAAACATAACAAAATGCTAAGAAAACTCCAAATGGTCCAACAGCCTCAGTAAGTCATTTGAAATGCATCAAATAAAAGGCCTAAATGGCAACAAGCAATGGCTTGTTGCATTAGGAGCACATAAAAGACGCCCTCCCCTCATCAGTGTGGTGCCAGCCTGGGCAGAGCATGAAAGCAGCAGGAAATTATACAAAAGTACAAGGTGGATCTACAGTGTTTTGTTTACAGCCCAGCGAGGACCGATGAGCCTGCTGACGTGTCAGCAATGCTCATGGCTTCTGCAGTGTTCTCAATATTTGACAAAGCCACAATAATCAAGAGAGAACTGAAAGCACTGCACAAGCACACAAGGGTCTCAAACATGAAATGTCATTAGCTATACATATTCTGTTCAATAACATGTTCCATTCAGACATCGATCTGGACTTATTAAGAATACATATTAGGAAAATGCATGCTCTATGTCTGATTTACTTGATCTGGACATTTGTATTTGCATCGAGAACATTTCAAGACTGCAGTCATGTGTGAAAATAAACCCAGTTAGGTAAAAAATAAACATGTAAAAGTGTAAGGATTCCCGACCTCAGCGGTCAAGGGTGCAGGTTGAAACAGAGAGACGTGGAGAGCTGGCAGGAGTCTTCTGACAGAAATTACATTTACCTCCAATTTAAATGCTGTCTGTATTCCTTAACGTTGCACTGAAATCCCTCAGCCCTCAACACATTGACTGGTTTGCCATTGCTGTAATTAGAGATTTTTCTCAGAGCCTGTCGAATGCACAACAGATAATCTATATATGGTTAGTGGAACAATTTAAAGTTTGATTGAACACCATGATCAAATGATCCCTGAACGGAGGAGTTTGATTTATCTGGTTCAGAGGCATTTGCTGCAACTAAAGAAATGAAGGTTTAGTTAAAGATAATACTTTAACTACTTAATAAGTAGGCTATTCCAGTGTTGAGGAGGACAAATGGAAAGAGTACACCCACACAACGGATGCTTGAGAAAAAAAACTACTGAAGCAGCCAGTCCACAGCTCAAAAAGCCACTCATTTACGTCCCACTAGACTCAGGAGGTGAATGTAAAAATTTGATATGGCTTCCAGGGTAGGTCCTTGATAAACACGTACTGACTTTCAGACCGAGAGTCTACCAAGCCAAAACAATTCACTTCAGACAGAAGCCAAAAATACAACATGAGAGGGGACTCATTAGTTACAGATAATGGATTAATGCATCTCCTGCTAATCAAATGCACTCTTCCTCCACAGACATTTACTGACAAATTTCTGCCGGCTCATTTTCAGTCTCACTCTAATAAATCGGTCATTTGTACAATTTTATTTCTACTCTGGTATTAGTCAACGGTAAAAATGATTTATTTCCCATATGACTCGATACCTACTGTAAATCAACCCCCCGTGATTATCAGCTCTTGTTGCATTTCTATTGTTGAGGGACAAACATCTGTCTGGTAGGGCTTTTTCTATCCAGGGATTAAAAAGGGACGGATTAGCGTGTATTTTCAGGGGATAAACCTTCACATAGTTCCTCCGAAACTTTGTTTTTAGTGGAATTTAAAGAGAAAACCAAAGACTTTGAGATGAATATCAAACCCTAATTGCAAAAAGGGTTATTCTCTCTTATGTAGGTTCACAGTAAGCCATAAACAGAATATGGGACAAATCACATATAATGCGTTACATCAGAAGAATTTGTGTGTGTGTCTGTGTGTGTGCGCGTAAGATCTCATCTCATTCTGTTACATAAGTGTAACCACTTTCAATATAACCCATATATTCTTGATATATTTTGGAGAATAAATGTGTGGTAAAATGATGACAGGTGACTAGTCTTAAAGGTTTATAAAAGAAGACCTGGCAACTCATTTAACTGTTTATTATTAATTTTTAAAGGCATTCTTTGAGGCTATTTCTTTTCTGTCTTTTTTCTCCAATTAAATTGACTTTTTCAAGAAGTACTTGATAAATCTAATGTTTATTCTATGTAAACAGATAAGTATAAGAGACAACAGTGATGGTTAGAAATATACGGTCAAACAGATGACCTAGCCTATTATGTGTAGCAGTAATCTAACAAAGACACACGGCAGAGTGAATGAATAAATAGCCCTTTAATTCCCTTCAACATCACAATAAGGTGATTATATAATCCAAGATCTGAACATATGCTTCATAATCTGGTCCTTAGCCTCCTCCTTTCCTCTTTAGGAAAAACCATCTCTCATACTGAAATGGACGCAAACCTTGTGTTCACTGCATTTCCCTGCACCTGCTTCCACAAAATCAACACAAACCAGTGAGAGTTGCATGAGGTTGACTTGATTTTTTCTGACAGCGGCTGATGATTTATGAAGGCGGTGGACAGCGTCCAAAGAGCGGAGCTGTCACAGTTACACTGCGAATGCGGCAGACAGGGAAATGGGCAGGGAGGCAGACAGCCGGCCAGAGAGATGGGCAGATAAGGTCAAGCTCATGATAGAAATATTACCGGGTCTCTATAATAGTCCGGCATGGGGTGACTTAGTGAGAACCTCATCCATCTTAAGCTGCTTGTCACGCCATTAAACTCTTTGGAACCAAACATTTATGCTGATGTTCAGCCTTAACTGTTCAGACCGATTAGAACCAAAAGTGATCCTGTCAACTTGAGGCCTGAAGCCCGATGGTGACATTCAGGCGGTTTCCTATAATCAGAGCTGACACAGAACGGTGGGACAACACTCTCACAGGTTGTGAGAAACGCACTGAAACAAATCGAACCGGAACATACAAAGCAGGCCAGCAGGCAGGCACACCTTAACCTTAGATCAAGGAAGTTTCAGGCTCTTCCACGAATCCTGCAAAGTACTGTTGCCTCAGATTCATCTGGGACTATTTCAGCAACAATTCTTGGATATTGCATAGCAAGATCATTGACGTTAGATGGATAATTGGGGCTAAAAATGAACAGAAATAATCAGAGCTGGTCTAGATTTTTTTCCATCCCTTTTTTTTTGGTTTACTTCACTTTAACCCACAGAGCTCCAACAGCAGAGACGCTCACAAGCATTCCGTTCTATGGACAAATACCGTGCATGTTCCCGACACGTTTATGGACCGCCAGCACTCTATTAAAGGACCAACATTTTGTCTGTATTGTTGATCTTTTTAGAAAGAAAAAGCAGTCAGTATGTGCCAGCAGGGTTGGGCTGTGCTGGTTCCTCACAGAGTGACAGGCTGCCACGATGAAACCTGTCACTATGTCTTCAGGATGGCATTCCTGATGCCGTGAAAAAAAAGAGCCAGATGGATGACATGGGACAGAGCAGGAATGAGACTGAGACTCACCCAGTAGAAATACACACGCGAAAACCTTTTTTGAATAAAACGTATTGTCAAAGTCAAGATCCTTGACTTGTTTTATGTCATGGGTATAAATTCTGGTCATCCATCTGAGTCCAGCATGTGTGTGTTAATTCTTCAAAGATACCCCGCATGTAACAATATGCAAGGAAAAGAGAAGCACCGTGCTGTTCTTTTCTGAATTACACACCATGCTCCCTTGCACTGCTTTGAAACACTACCACACACGGCAGGATGTGTAGCACGGCGCCAAGGGGTGAAATATCAAAGGCTAAGTGTTCGTCATTAACTCCATACAGCTATGAACGGTGCAGTGTCACGCTCCTCTCCATCACTCAGGGAGAGGCGCGCACACACAGCTGGAAGTGAAACGAGCCTCCGGCTGCGCCGAAGCCACCGGTTCCAGGCTCAGAAAACGGCCTGCCGGAACCTGAAAACCAGCCCTGCTCACCGCCTGCATCCCTCCGGTCGACCCAACAGCCACCCCCGGCCGTTTCTACCCCCTCAGCCCGGGTGACCTTATTCGTGCCGTCGTGCCTCTCGTCTCACCGTATGTCTCTTTGTACGTCGGCACCGTGACATCCTGCAGGCTCTCCGTCCAGCCCTCCTCCTCCGCCTGGCTCCGGGACAGGGAGCCCGGGGGACCGGCTGCTCCTCCGCTGCCGGCGGGGCCGCCACCTGCCCCCCCGCCGAGCCTGCCCTCCTTACCGCCGCCGCCGCCGTGTTTCTGGTGCCGGTGCTGCGGCTGCTCCTCTTCCCCGACCTCGGCTATGTAGTTGTCCGAGTCGGAGTCTCCCGACGTGCTGTAGAAGGGGTTGTCGCTGCTGTCGTCTCCGGATTCGCCGAACACGTCGTCGGATATCTGCAGGCTCTCGTAGCGGGAGCGGGCCGCTTCCAGGAGAGACAGCGCCTTCCGCCCGCACTCCGCCATCTCTCTGTGGTGATGCTGCTCTCCTCCTCCTCCTCCCCCCCACCTCTCTACCTTCAGCCTCCCTCCTCCTCCTCAACCTGTCACTATACGGCTTCAGCGGCGCGAGAGTGGTCACGACAGGGACGCGCGTGCAACTGAGTGGGCGACACGCGCTCCTCCCGCACGGGGTGTTAATTACTATCCGCGAACCCTCCCCGGTTCGTATGCAGGTGCCCGGTGGTCAGACGCGTGGGGGGACCGGGGTAGGGGTGGGGGGGGGGGACGGGGAAGCTGGGCTTCAAGGGTACGGAAATGATTCCGCCCCCTCGCTGTGCCAACAGCACCACGTACCGGGCAGAGCTACCGACACTTACTGGGACACGGCATCCGGGTCGAGGGTGTAGCGGCTGGCTGCCGAGGCATCAGCTGACACCAACCCCCCCCCCCGGAGTCCACCAATAAGACGGCCTTTTCTGACCCAAATCCAGGGGAGCGGCTCCACGACTCAGAAAACCATACAGAAACATGATGTGAAACGAGCAACTAGCGATTAAATGAAAAAATGGATCCATGCTTACGGTCCATTTCTATATTTATGTTGGTCTTAATGGATTTGAAAAAACTATTTTGATTTGAAACTTCAATTAAAATAGAGATTTCATCCAATCTTTTAACAGTAAAAAAAATATACAAAGACAAATATCTTATTTGATTATGACAAGTTCTTGATTTACTGTAATTCTTTGTTTTGGGCCTTTTCCAAATTCTCTGAAAAGCTTCCAGCTGTTCAGAAATGATGCAATGGGGCAAGTAGATTTATATAATGGAATTAAATTAAACTACAGGGATGCAATTGATCTAAAAGGTTCAACTGGACATGAAATAATTAAAAGTTACAAAAGAATTTGAATTTGATGAATGAAAAGTACCAATCAAGATTTTTTTTCAAATTATGTCAAAGTTTTGTACCGGCACCATGTATACTATTGGATGTTTGCTAAATTAAATAATAAAAACAATAACTATTAAGTAACCTGTCTGATATGCTTCTGATATTTGCATGAAAAAAATATGAAAGATGGCTTAGCCCAAGTTGGAAGGCTTCTCATGTTTGTTTGCTTGCTTTCATTACTTCTTGGTGCAGGCATGGGTTTTAGCTCAAGCTAATCTTTTTGAAAACTGGCAAGAATGCCAAGTCAGCTTTGTTAATCCAACAACTAACATGCAAAGCGCACTGTAAATACAAGGGGGTTTGGCATTTATTTACATCACGTTTGACAGTCTTATACTAAATTGGGTGATTACCATGAACTGGAACACCTAGTTTAACTTAAATCAGCAAAAATCCTCACACAAAAAGAAATTTTACTAAAGCAGTCATTTCAGGCTAAGGAGAAATTACAGTAAATATCAAGGTTACTCTATAAAGTGTTCACTGAGAGTGAAACATTTCCATTGTTATTGATATCTGTTCTCTACAGTAACAAAGATTATACAGTTTTGACTGAAATCAGAATGTGATCTTTTTGTCCAGCTGCAAAAATTTCATTTGTGATTTTTTTCCAATTGTTTTTACGTCAAATTTGAACATTTGACTAATTCTGTGTGTAAAGCAGTGTGGTAGACACATGCAGTAACACCCCATCATTCCCCGTGAGCTGGACTGCTGAACTTCTTTATCATATTTTTCTTTTTCTAGGAAGTTAAGCAATCACCTCCAAAGCTACACCATAATGCAGTATATTCCTCAGCTTTCACAGGACACATACACACTCATTCTCCCCCATCCACTGACCAATAACCACCCCAATGTGGCAGACCCAAGTCCTAACTATAATACCAAGCATTCCTCATCTGAGATCAAAATTATATAGATACTAACTGCATGATGAGGGGTGTTCTCACAGATTCCTAAAAATGGAACAAAATTTGTATCTAAAAGTTTGTGAAGGAATTCGATGGACATACATTGCTTCACAAAGTCTCAATAGTGTGTGCTCACAAAAAACGTGATAACAATAAAGCCTCTAGAGGGCGTAGTCGAACCATTTAAGTCTTTATTCTTCTTCGTTGGTATTGTTGCCATGTTTGCGGAAGCTGGACCGTAGCAGCTAGCAGAGGGATCATCAAATTTATTTAAAGAAGTCTCTGTCTGTTTTTTAATAACCAACAATGAATCTACCAAAGGGACCAGATTCTTTGTGTTTCGACAAGGATGTTTTCATGAAGGTGAGAGACTACCGACGTTTCTTATTGCCAAGAGCTAACGATGGTTTTCATACCCAAATTGTCATCATTATTACTATCGGTAGTTGGCAGGGTTAGGGTTCTTTGACACTTGAATTTCTATTAATGGCAGTTATTTTTAATTCAGTGAACGTGCAAGTTTAGCCTTATTGTTTGAAATCCTGACAGTATTTTGTAACCAACAAAATCCATTTCAGCAAAAGAGTTTAAGAAATGACAGAATCTTTAACCACGTTGTATGTTTTTTCAATTAAACGATTCAACTAAAAAGGGTGTCAACAGATTTGGCGTTCTCTTCTTTTTCTCCCTGTCTGCAGGATGACTTTGATGTCGACCAGTTTGTGGCTGAGTGTCGAAAGCAAGTCCAGCTGGAGGAGATGAGAGAGGACCTGGAATTGTACTATAAGCTGTTAAAAACGGCCATGGTGGAGCTGATTAACAAGGACTATGCAGACTTCGTTAACCTCTCTACCAACCTGGTCAGTTGTTCTAATTGTTTTGAAGGCAATAGATACATCACAAGTCAATTTGAGTTGTAATTTAAATGATCCCTTGAATCTGCACTGCCTGCAAAAGTCTTCATTGGGCTTTTACTGTATCAAGTTAATTTAGTCTTTAGTATCAGAATCACTTTCAGCTTTTATTGGAAGCTTGTTTACATTTGATTACTGATTAATCAGAAACACCTGACCGGTAATATCTTGTATCAATTCAAACAATGCTGGTTATGAACTCCAGTGAATATATCTAAACTAACAGAATACTTTAAGGTCTTTTAGTGTTAATCTGTACACCAAAACAACGTGAAATGTGCCTTTTGCGACAAAACACATTAGTCTTTTCACTATATTTTCTAAATTGCCCTCAAAATGTTTTTCTGCAGAAATGAAGTTAATCTCTTCTTTTTTATGCTCTCAGGTGGGGATGGACAAAGCACTCAATCAGCTTTCTGTGCCTTTAGGACAGTTACGAGAAGAGGTCATGGTATGTGCCCTGGATAATTACGCCGGTTCATTCCTGCTTCGAGGTTGTTTTAGACCTATTTCTTTTTGTTTCAGAGCCTGAGATCCTGTGTGAGTGAAGTGATCCAGACTATTGACAACCAGCTTTCTAAACAGGAAGACTTGCAGAAAAAAAAGGTTTGGCTCCTCTTCATCTTACTGTATTCTGTGGTTACTGTTAATCATCTTTACAGTGCCTTTTACAGTGTGTTTGTGTCAAATCATCCAACTTAATTTCAGTGAATAGGTTATAATTGAGTATGAGCATATAATGAACCAGTATTTTAATCCCTACTCAACTACTTTGTGTTAGAGAATGGTTAAAAGACTGTTTTTGGTCTTTAACGGATTCCCTCAATGGATAATTTTCCTTTTTTTCTAATAATCCTGCAGGTTTGTGTACTGAGACTGATTCAGGTGGTGCGCTCAGTGGAGAAAATTGAGAAGATCCTCCACTCACAGAACTCAAAGGAATCTAACTCTTTGGAAATCAGCAGGTTTGGAAACTTGTAAACTAGTCAAATGTCTAACGAAATTCTATATTTAATGTTTTACTGATTAAACAGATATATAGTTTACAGGTTCATCGTATCATTATCTGTCTGAATGACGGTCCACTTCTCTATATATGTACAGTCCTTTATTAGCAGGTCAGATTCTGGAGAGGATCGCTACAGAATTTAACCAGCTGCAGTTCCATGCAGTACAAAGCAAAGGCATGCCACTGCTGGACAAAGTCAGACCTGTAAGTTTTGATGGGTCAGTCTAACCGACAGCTAGGAAATGCTTTCATTCAACCAGTCAAATGGCTATTTTTTGTTGTCCCTGTCAGACCATGATATTACTGGATATCAGTACCTCCATCTGCCCTATAAAGAAAGTGCTTGAGCCCTTTTGATGTGCTCTGACAGCGTATAGCGGGGATCACCTCCATGCTGCAGCAGTCTCTGGAGGGCCTGTTGATCGAGGGTCTGCAGACGTCCAACGTGGACATGGTCCGTCACTGTCTGAGGACGTACGCCACCATAGACAAGACTCGAGACGCCGAAGCTTTGGTGGGACAGGTGCTCGTCAAACCGTACATGGACCAGGTAACAATACCAAACATCACCTAAACTTAAAAAAGAGATTTCAGCTTTATGAGAGTAAAATATTTTAATACAGAGGTTTAAATGGTAAAAGGGTTATGTTTGTATTGAAAGTCAAAATGTATTCGGCAGGTCTTTGCAATATGCTTTGGTGATTATATGTCTAAACTCTTTAATTTCAGCGTCCTATGTTGTTAAATCCTAACATTGAATGTCGTATAGCAATTGATTAAGACCTTCCTCTAATTTTAGGTGATAGTTGAAGAGGTGGTGAAGTCCAGTCCAAATGGTCTCCAGATGATGTATTCCAGACTGTTGGAGTTTGTTCCTCATCACTGCAGACTGCTTAGAGAGGTGACCGGAGGAGCTATATCAAGGTATTACTGATGGTGTGGATCTTCATTCATTTAAATCATTTCAAGACTTTTTTTCTTGGTTATGAAACTCCTACTTCCGTTAAAAACAGGTATTTATTTCTACTCATCACATATTAATTTGACTGTGGGATGATCTTAACACAGATTTGATTTTTATTTCGTAAAACTAATATTTTAATGAAAAAACAAAGCATTCCTAATGGCATTTGTCAATTTTGGACTCCACAAATACCATGAATCATCATGAAAAAACAGGTCATTGTTTTCCTTCCTTGTCAGTGACAAAGCCGACACGGTGCCAGGCTACGATTTCCTGGTGAACTCTGTGTTCCCGGAGATGATCAAAGGAATAGAGGAACGGCTGGCCCACATCTTCAACCCTGGAAACCCTGACATGTTCTACGAGGTAGGGCTACAAAGTCTGCATGTTTTACAGATTCACATTGCAAACGTTAGACATGTTCCACACGTAACACGTGATTGGATGAGCCACAGCGTGATTATGTGAATTTACTGAGGTGTGTTTTCTGCTTTTTCTGCTAGCGTTACAGCGTCAGTATGGAGTTCGTTCGGCAGTTTGAACGACAGTGCAGCTCGCAGGCCAGTGTGAAGAGGCTGAGAGTTCACTCCTCTTATACCAGCTTCCACAACAAATGGAACCTGCCTGTCTACTTTCAGCTACGGTGGCTATTCACTGAAAACTCTTTACGCTTAATATGTCACAGTTGCACACCTCAAATATTATGGTAGCATTTACTCTTAAGGCGGAAATAGAATAAAACATCTTATTCTAGGAAACATATCTAAAAGATTAATGGGTGCTTTTTGTTTAATGTGCACACAATATTGCCTAGAAATGTCTGTGTTTTATGAATATAGTGAGATGTTACGTAGAGCAACACAATGGGTTTACTTCACCACATGTTTTTATTTTTTTATTTATTAATTTATTCCATTTTTTCGTAGAATTGACAAGTCTTGCTTTGGGGGTTTCAAAAGCGAGCTTAGATTAGAATTGCAACATGTCAGCATTTTCAGTCGATAAAGACAAGAAGTCAGAAGCTCAAGACTTGAGCGAAGCCCAAATTTACAAGATTCTGGGAAAACGCTTGTGGCTGTGATTTTCAAAAAGGATGATGACTCACAGCAAAATGGAAATATGAATTTGTGTCAGCGGAATACTAAACACCTCTCATAGAGATGACGCTGGACAGACCTTGGCAGAATGGTCATTGATCTGTGGGGGAAAAAAAGAAAAAAAAAGTCCAGCAGTTGTCTGCTATTTGTCATCCTCCTCTCGCCCCCGCCAGTCGCCCCCCGTTAAGTACACATCGTGTGGATTCCTCATTGCACATCAAAGCAAAGATTAAGTGTTGTTGTCCAAAAAACACCACAGTGCAGCAGTTTCTGGACTGTCAAAACTTTCCAGTGCACATGTTGCTGCAGGTGTTTGTATCAGAGCTGATGCAACAGGCACGCTGATAGCAAATTGATCTTTTCTCTCTGCATGTTTCACTTTGTTTAAAAAAAAAATATTTGTTGTTTTTTTAATTCTTTTTAGCTACAAGGAAATAGCTGGCTGCCTGGAAAATGCCATTAGTGATGGATTAGAGCCAGCGCCAGGTAGGATTTTATTCATGATGGTGAATATGTTTTTTTAATGGCGGTTGAACCCACAACACTCCTGTGTGTCTGTTTGTTTCCAGCTGGCAGCGCGTACCACCTGCAGGTGTCTGAGGTCCTATGGTCCTGTTTAGTCAGGTGCTGGTCAGACAAGGTGTATCTGTCACCCCTGGCGCATCGCTTCTGGAAGCTGACACTGCAGCTGTACTCACGATATGCCAAGTTCCTTAATGAGGTAAACCTCACATGAAGGACGATATCAGATATTTTTAAGGCGGTTGTTTGGTTTGCTTTGCTTTCTTTTTCCGTCTTCATTAGTTTTCCATTGTTTACGGCTTGTTCTTGTGTGTCGTCATGATCCGTTTTTACACAGGTGTTGACCAAGACACCATCCCTCGAGGTGCCAAAGGAGCCGGTCAGACCTCTGCCGAGCTCGGCCTCGTCCACATCCAGCCGGACGTCACTGGACGAGGGAGGCAGTGAGAGCGGGAGTCCCACGTCCCTGTCCACCCAACAGCTGGTTTACATTGCAGCAGACATCCAGAAACTGCAGGAGCAGGTTCACAGTCTTTTCTTTTTGAAATGAATTCTGTTCAGAGATGCATGCAGCCATACCGGTATTAGTCACTTCAGTTCAAGCTCAGAGTCGTCTGTTCTCATGAGTGGGCCCTGGCCTTACATCAGTTTTCAGTCTGAACTCACTTTAACTTTTTCGGTTTCCTTACTGACAATCTTCTTGCTCTTAGATCCCAGAGTTGTCTGACATGGTCAGACAGCAGTTGGAAGCCATTGGGTTCAAAAACTTTGCTGTTGTGGAAGGTAAGCTGTCCATGTGGTAACCAATTGAAGTTTCCACTTCATATGCAGTTTGTTCTTGATCATGTCTAGCATATATTTGTCTGTAAATGAAGATCTCAGGGAACAATTTGCCCTCTTTCCAGCCATGAAAAGGATGATCAGTTTTTTTCAGTTCGAAAAGCATAATTTGTCTTTATTTAGGGTGCTGCTGACCTCCGCATTATCATTCATCTATAAATGAGAATGCAACCAATGACATAAAAAAAAAAAAAGTACCCATCCCAATGGAATTGTGGTCGAAGGATGTGTTTAATTGTGTATTTATACCTTCTTTTTTTGTCACAGATGCTCTTGCAGAATCCAGAGCTTGCCTGTCGAGCAGCGTTCCGTCTCTGAACACCAGGATGACGCAGCATCTGACCGAGCGCTGCTGCCGCTTCCTGAAAAGCGCCTCAGAGGTTCCGCGACTGTACCGCAGGACCAATAAAGTTAGTGGACGTGTTTTTCCTGCATTTCATCATGTTCTCTTGGCTCGTGTTTCTCATAGAACCCATTGGGAACACAGCTTGTCTGATTTAGACAAAATTATGTCAAGTGTTTGAGCTCTTATGAAATACCGCTCAGATTTCCACACGCTGTATGAATATGGATGCATGACTACCAACGTCACTCATCAGTATTGAATGCTTTATTGTTTTGGACACTTTTAGGCTATACTTTGCCGAATATTAATGAATAACGTGAGATAAATTAGTTTGTGAAAGCTGGGAAATTTGGACAAAAGATTAAGAAAAAAACATTATGCACTAATTGGAATTATGTTGAACTTTGTGTCAGGAGTTTTCTGTCAAACATGCTGTTGAACTGCTCAATCTCGTATTGCAGAGTTAACAGTGATGGCACACCCACACTGATAAGTAAGCTTCCTCTGCTGAGCGTGTTTTCACAACTGCAAATCAGTTTTGTTTTTGGTACATCGTGTACAGTGTACAGATCCAGTCAGGTCTGGTTTCACATTGCGGTCGTGTGAGCCCATCTTTCATTCTGTACCCACGTCCAGTCATTACCTACATATCTCTGCCTGGTATTGATTGACCGCCATCAGCATGTTGTCAGTTTGCTTTGTAGGTTGTTGTTTAAGTAAGGGAACAAACACGCTGCTCAACTTTTCTGGGAAAAATACATTTGATTGTGAGGGAACTTCAAAACCCGACAATAAAAAAAAATAAGACAAAGCCCCTCCTACAAGCAGACATTTTGAGAATGGAAATTGGAAATTAAAAATTGGAAATTAAATGTGACATGTCAAATTGAGGATTTGTCTTCCTGACTGTGAAGGATCTGCCTGTTCGTGCATCAGCGTACATGGACAACGCCTTACGGCCGTTACATCAGCTGCTGGCTGACTCCACGGGGCTGGTCACCCCACAAACAGCGCAGGAATGGCTGCGGGTTGCACTGTCTGAAAGCACACAGAAGTAAGTTATTATACACTCCAACAAAAATGTATAGACCCCATACACTTCCAGTAATGTCGCCGTTTAAAGCGCACCTCCTGGCCGGAGTGAGTCATCAGTTTTTATTTATCTAAGGAAACATTTCTTCTGTATTTATATGTGGTTTCCCACCTTGTGCTCAGGTACTATGAGACCATTTCAGAGGTGCTGAGCTCTGTCAGAAAGATGGAAGAGAGTCTGAAGCGTTTGAAACAAGCCAGAAAAGGTGCGACCACATCAACCACAGCTGGAGCAAACGGCGGGCCCACAGATGACAGCAAGATTCGTCTTCAGCTGGCGCTGGACGTGGAATATCTGGGCGAGCAGGTACGTGCACCTCTGAGTTCCCAAAAAGACGTGGTAAATGAGGATCATTATAAAAAATCAGAGTACACTCTTCAGGCGGATGTGGCTTTCAAACGGAAAGTCTTGAAATGATCTCTCTGCTGTTGTGCGTTTCAGATCCAGAAAATGGGCCTTCAGCCAAGTGACATCTCCATGTTCACCACTCTGATGCAACATGTGAGGGAGGCCCGGGAGCTGGCTGAACAGAACCAGTGAAAACTGGACTCCACATTGACTTTATACCCTTTACCATGCTGCACTCTGCCTCACGATCTCTGGAGATTTTGGAAATATTTAGAAAATCATCATCATTAGTCTACGAGGAGTTAAAAGTACTGAACTTCAGAGCAGAAAGAGGCAGAAACTGGCTCTTCAGTACGTGTTGATGGACATAAGGGACCCTATGGCACAGCGGTGGGATGTACTTCTGTGGTCAGATGCACTGTTCTGTGGAAACTGGTACGATTATAGGCTGGGCCAGAATGTTGCACAGCAAAAGGCTCAAGTTCTATTTGTAATGGGTAACTATTGGTCAGAGGGTTTTTGTGTAATTTCCGTTGCTTAAACACGAATAAATCTTTGAAGTATAACATCTGCATACTCGAATTAACCTTGGGAAAAAAATTGTGTGTAGTAGGAGCAGTTTGGAGATAAACCAAATGACTTTGGATACGTTGGCATATCATAAGTGTGTCATAAATGTAATGTAAAATACATTTTCTTGAATCAGTGATGGTATTTTGACTCATGCATCATCAAGTAGCTACAAATTTGAGGGTTAAGACCTTTTAAGTTTACAAACATTTTTGTAATATATAATATTTTGTATATTGACTTTTGTATGATGAGTTTAAAATTTTGATCATTTGAATATAGGATAAGCAAATGATCAACTTGAATCATACTTCTCATCAAAATATCTAAAATGACCCAGAATGCATTTCCCTTTAACTCCAACCTTTCACACCTCTCATCCTTGACCTGCATAGACATCACCAGTTTTTCAAATTCTTATGAGAAACATGGAGAATGCATACAATTGAGCCATGTTTGGAAATAAGTTTATTTATTCAGCAAACAAATCACAAAACAAAAATAGACTCTCAGTTACAATATACAAGATGTTATTTGAAATACACCTAAAAGGGTTGCTGTACTTGTAATGAAAAATACTGTACAGAGCATTTTACAGAGGAGATAAACAAATTTAGAGTTTAAGTAGCTGACAGTCAGCTTACAGTAACATGCTTTCATAAATACTGACAAAGCTTGTGGGGAGATCGGTTTGGTTTGAAAAAAAAAAAATTGGATAGGGTCAGATTTCCAGATGGGGCCATGCCTTTAGCTTTCATTCTCCCTTCAAAGTGTGGGGTTGACCATCTTTCCCAGCATGAGGATGGAGTTATAATATCCTTCTATGACCGCGAAGAAGAACGGCCTGTTGATGGATAACTTAAGAGGGACTCCTGCTTCCTGAGCCTTGTCCTGAGGTTCTGCTCCTCCCTCAGACATCTCAAACGACACCCTGTTGATGACCTGAGAGAAGAGAAAGAACTGGTTATTCAACAAAGAAACAGCCACCGATTGAAAAACCAGAGAGGACAATGTCCGCGCGGGTTACCTTGTTTACGGTGAAGGGTTTAGTGTTGCTGAGCCGGCTGAAATCGGCCTTAAAGCCCAACAGCTCAGCCTCAATCACAGGGTTCATGTATGTCAGCAGATCACGCAGGTCAGTCTCAGTTGACATGGAGAACTTGGGGAAAGACAGCTCCAACAGTCTGGAACAAAACATGGATTGCATTGATTTTATATCTGAGTTATGGATACTAACTATGGCGTATCAATCTGAACCTGATCATATGGAATGACAACAACGATTCTGTCACACAAGGTTCAAAACGCTCAATGGGACAGCACTCACCCCACTTGGCGGTTTTGGTGCCAGCTTGACATCACATCTAACTGCAGTTTCGACTCGATGTCGGTGAGGCTGACGCCCTCATGAGGCAGGACCAGCAACATGTAAGAGCGTTTGCTCAGAGACAGCTTCACAACTGTGCACCTCCTCACCTTCAAAATCCCAAAACCAGAATAGCTCAATATTTTTACAACCACAGTAAACACAAATTAAGAAATTAGTCCACAAATCCTCTGAGTGTGTGCTTACCTTGTCGTTCAGGTAATGGAAGACGCCTGTGTGTGTCATGAACGGGGCCTTTACTGTTGTTGTTTCATCCACATGGAACTCCTGCAGGGAGGTCCTCTCTGGCTGGAAGCCTGTCATCCAGTTTCCTTAGAAGACATGACCATAGAAGAGTTAGGTACCGGAGGATGCTGCAGTCATTCCCGCTGTGATCTTTGCTCTACTGAAGTTCAAAGCTAGTTTTCCCTTTAAACCACAATCAACATTTTCAGACGGACCTTGGAAGCTGAAGGAGGAGACGAAGAGGAGATCGCTGCTTGCGTTCAGATCTTTAAAGATGTTCTTGACCTTTCCATCTGAGGTCTTCTCCATAAAGCTGTTCACCAGCGTCTCTGCCGCCTGAGGTGTGGAGAAGTCCACGCCTCGGATAAACGATGCGTCTGAGAAGTCCTTTGTGCCTTGAGTGAAGTCCCCAGATAGGACGGCGCCCTGGCGAGCGAACACCCAGACCTGGGTAGTGATGTCATCTTTAGGTCCATCATCAACCAGAGAGTTAACAGCCTGCAGGGTGCTGAGAACCTTATGTCCGTCCACCAGGTACACACAGTCCTCTCCGTCAGTTCCACTACTCAGACCCAGGAAAAACTGGAAGAATAACAGAAACTGTGTTAGCAGGTCCCTGCTAAAGAATGAACAAATGATCTATTTGCTCTGTACTTATAGCTACGGTGAGAGCAAATTTAAAGAAAGGCACCTGGAATGAGCCTGCTGACTTCTTGGAAGCTCCGAGGTAGAGGTTGACAAGTGAGCCATAAGTACTGACTGGAGATAGGAGGATGTTGCTGCTGTTCTGCCCTTTGCTGAGATCCTTGTACATCCTCAGGCCCAAGGAGCCCATCAGCTTTGTCAGGACGGCCGCCCTCTCTGTCATGTTCTGCTTCTGAGCATCCACTTTCGACCCATCTCTGCTGTCCGGTGTCAAGACCTCCATATCAAGCAGGGCCACAGGGGTTGTTTCCAGAGGCCTTACACTCTGGCTTTGGATGGTCTCGCAGCTGACATTCTCTCCAGCAAACAGATAAAAAGGGTGAACATAGACCCGGTTGGCTTGGCTTCCAGAGAGGCAGCAGCACAGCAAAAAGACCAGAAGGGTGGACTGTAGTCTCCTCATTTTCCTTTTGTTCAGTTAGACGATTTCCTCTGGTGAGGGGGGTAGCAGGAAACACAAATATGTTTATTTTGTATCTCAGTAAATCTGTTAGCCCTATAAACAACCTTTTGTATCCGGTGGAGCAAATGGTTTGGAATTAGCTGTAAATGCAACAGAAATGGACAAGCACAGCTTTCGTCACTAATCTGGCTGGATCCGTTCTCCAACGAGCCTCGGCTTTAGAACTGCGCTTCACTGATTGATTGTTTTTTGTGTGTTTTCTCTTTTTCCTGTCAGTGAATGAGAGCAACCGTTGTCCCTGACAGGAGAGGTCAAGATAAAGATAAATAAAGATAAGTGTGGGTGTGTGTGTGTGTTGATTCAAAGGGCTGTTTGTGCTGCTGTTCACCCAATTCCAGTAAAAGACAATTTACAAATACATTTCCATACTTGTGATTTTATAGCCCTCCAAATGATCAAATGTATGGATAAGCCTACTTAGACAGCCTTACATAAAATCCCACTTTCAAATTAAACCTTTTACGTTTTACCATCAGTTCAGGAGAAAAACTTAGGCCTGCTGCAGATGTTATTTCTCTAAAATTTCATTGAGTTATGTCTTTTTGCAAAAACAGGACTTTATCCCCAACATGTGAACTCTCAGAGAATGTAAGCAAACAATAGATTTTCCTCTATTTCAACATGCACCACAGGACATGGCCTTGGTCCTGGATCAATAAAACCAGTGCACAAATGTTCTTAAACACAACCAAAGCAAACAACCCTGAGTATTAAAAAAAAGAATAATTATTCATCCATTCTGTTCCATAAGAACAAATTAACCCTATTACACATTATTTTAAGAAATCAAAATCACAAATTTAAAAGTTATGTGAATGGAATAGTTTTTTTTTCTTGTTTTGACCAATCGAATAGATTTGTTCTTCTACCAATAGGCCTGTTAATAATGGACACTTATCCAAGACCAAGTAAAATTGTGTTCTTACCTTAATGTTAGCAGCTGCTGAGTGGGGTGGAGAGTGAGGTCCTCACCGCTGTGCTCCCTTACTTAAACCAGCCACAGTGCTTATATTCAGGTTAAAAGTTAACCAGAGCAGCATTGAGTCAGATGCTCTGTTGCCATGACTCACTGCTGACGGGTTACCGTTATAGATTATTCTGTCAGAGAAAAAGAACAACAAAACATGCACTAATTGGTGTGTTTGACAACTGACTCACTGAAATGTCACAATTCCATCAAGATGTTTTTTTATTATTATTATTTATAGGGGCTTCAGTGATCTGAATTCATTACGGACATTCTTTTTTTCTTTTATTTTTTTCGGGAGCTGTGTCAAACAGAAAAACAAAAGAGTCATCATGGGCCCCTTCAGACGATTCTCTCCATGTTGTCATGCAAAAGTATTATTCATTTTCCCCAAACAATAATGCTCATATAAATATTAAGATTACATGTAAGAACACAACTAATGAGAAAAGCAAGAAATTAAAGTGTAAGAATAAATGAACGGCAAACTTTTCAGTGAACAATGTGAAGCAGAGCATTGTGTAACGATTGTGATAAAGTGATGTACGAGTAGAATGTGGCTACGGCATTATGATTGAGCATTTAAAAATGTCCTGGGAAAAGAGCAAACACTTTTCATCTGTTTATCCAAATTTCCACCAAATGATAAAAGACAATATTTACTAAGGCACACAACATCCGTGATTTTGATGACTAAAATCCTTCACAGGAGCACCTGAGTCAACAGCGTAAGAGGAATCATACGTTCTCATGAGCAGTGGAGATATCAACGTGTTTAGCATGATGCAGTCCAGGCTTTATCTTTAGCAAATATTGTTACTGTAATAATGACTGTTTGCTGGAGGGAAAAGTCCACACAGAAAAGGGAAACTTCCATTCACTTTGCACTTCAAATGAAATATCCTATACAAAAGCTAAAATGTTCTTATAGATGTTTTTATAATTACTTTAATTCCCATTAGTCATTTTGAAGGAATAATCTTCTACTTTTGCATCTAGGATATTGTAGCAATATAGCCATTTTTAGTTTGTTGTTATTTCAAGTAAAATAGGCTCCACAAAAAGTCTTTGAGGAGATGTGATTGTCAAATGCTTAAAAGCGAAGTTTCTCAAAGAGACTGTGTCCCCATATCCCAGTCCTCATAGCATCCCTACATAATAACAGCAAATTTAAATGGACTGTTCAGTGGGCAAAGGCACAAGCATAAATGAAGTCGAAGAAAGGCTTGTTAAGAGTTTGATGAGCAGGCCTTGAAAAGAAAATTCTGAAGCAGTTTCAATCTTAGCTTGAAATACAGCAAAACTCTGAATTAACATTCTTTATCATCAATGTGAGGACCTCATACAACAATACTCACGTCAGTTTTCTACCATCGGCACAGTTGTGGGTTTCCAAAGAATTCCCACGAAGTTTAGCAAAACAAATACCCTAAAACACATCCTGAAAATGTGTTTTATTACAGTTAACCACATGTGTGTTTCGCATGCAGGAGGATTACTGAGTAACATATCACCCTGACATTTGATAACGTCAGGACCTTTATAGCTGCTGAAACACGCTGGGCATATAAGCTGCGGCGTTCAGCACCTGAAGCAGACTGGAAGGTGAGCCAGATACACCATGTGGACCCTCTTGGTTCTTTGCACTGTGGTCGCCCCACATGGAGCGCAAGGTACAGCTAATTTATCATTTCTTCCTAAAAAGGATAAGCTCTGCTTGTGTGTGCATAGATATACACTCTGTGGCCTTTTTGTCATGTTTTTCTTGTTATCCATCAGGTTGGTATTGGACAACTGATGCTGAGACTGTGTCATCTCCAACTGCCACAGGTATAAACAGAAGCATGGGAGTAAGAAACAATGCTGTAGGGAATTGTCACTATCCATATTCCTTCTTTAACTGTTCATGGTCATTGTAATTTTTCTGCTTTTTCTCAGATTCAGTCTGTGGTGGTTACCTCTATGGCAGCAGTGATGATTTCTACAGCCCCAACTATCCAAACAGCTACCCATATTATTCCAGCTGTGTATGGTACATCAGGCCAGGCCGTAGATATATTCGACTGGAGTTCTCTGCTGTAAAGTAAGTGGATGCAGGGCACATGTGGGATGCGTTTATCACCACCAACCCATGTTTTCTGCACCGAGTGGTGTTTAACACTCAAAACCGCCTTTGGCTTTACTGTCCGTCACAGCATTGGGTGCTATTCCGATGACATCCGCATCTATGATGGCTCATCTACCGGCCACAGTCTTCTGGGGTCATACTGTAATTCCGGGAACACCGTCTTCTACTCCACTGGCTCTTACCTGACGGTGCACTTCACCAGTGACGGTTATGTGAACTACTCAGGATTCCGCGCTCACTACAGAAGAGTTGGTAGGTGACGGTGGAGATCACCAACATATACCAGTGGGATTTGTACAGGCTTGTTTTGGATGGTCTAGAAGAAAAAGCAAAACAATATATATGACAAAACTTAATATGTCGTATAAAGGCATTCTTATCCGTCCTTTCCAAAGATACAGGCTCCTGTGAGAACAAATGTGGCGACCGAGTAGCGAACTGCTCCTGCTCCTCAGACTGCACATACAGAGGGAACTGTTGCCCTGACTATGAAGGTTTGTGAATGTTAAGGAAACATCTACAACGTGACAGCAGGTGTAAACTTTAGGTTGGTGAAACAAAGGAAAAAATTTGCTAGAACGGTCTCTTTTTTAGGAGTATAAGCAAAATATTTTTTTTAACCTCTGATAAATGTATGTACATTAAAAATGAGATACAATACACACCCTTGTGAATACCATGGAAACTGATCACAATCATAGCTGTGCATACCCAGCAGTCACATCTTCATGTTGTTATTCATTACAAAATACATCTGAAGAGTTAGAAAAAGCTGAGTGGAAATGATCAAATAAGCCTCCGTTTTCCATCATTACCTGACTTCATTCTTCTCATTTTGTCAAATAGATTACTGCTTATCATCTACTCAGATTCCAGATTTCACAGGTTTGAAAAAAAAACTTTCAAGTTTCAGATGAATTACTTGGTATATTTTTAATCAGTCTTTTAATCAGAGCAATAATGTGTGTCTCAGCTCAGCTTTCATGTCGATACAACTGTGGCAGTCATCTGGGAAGCTGCTCCTGCACAAGCTCTTGTCAATACTATGGCAACTGTTGTCATGACTACTCCTGTAAGTCCAAACTCAACACCCTTAGAAGATTTGACATCAGCGTTTATCTACATGAGCAGTGACACGTTTCGTATAGCTGCTCAGGAAACAACTGCTGTGAAATACCGGAACAGATAAGCAAAAAAAACATTTACTGATTTATTTAATGATTTCTCTCTTCTCGTGTAAAAAAAAAAAAAAAAAAAAGGGTAACTTTTTGTGTGGCAGTTTTCCTCTCCCAGCAAATGACAAGAAAATGTTGCCCATGCTAAAACCAAATAACCCTGTTCACTCAAAATGGGAAATGATCTTGTTCAATTTCATGCATATTCTACTCTTGAAATTCTTGAGGCATGCTGGCACCACAGAGTGAACCTCATCTGCATGCATTTCACACAAAAAGAAGAGGGGTAACTTTGTTCATGTTTTCTCTCCTCTTAGCTTACTGCCCGTCACCCACTGACATGACCACCCCTGACATGCCCACCACAGGTAAGAACACCTGTGAGGTTTATCTGTAAATATGTAAGTACATCATTTATTCTACCATGTCTGAATGACATCATGCTGCTGTCTCTCAGATCAGCCCTCGTGTCGACACAACTGTGGTTACAACATGGGAAGCTGCTCCTGCACCAGCTCCTGTTGGTACTATGGAAACTGCTGTTATGACTACAGCTGTAGGTATCCTGTAATGCAACAAACAGCATAATTGTGTGTGCAGGGTCTTCATGAAGAAATATGTTGAAATTTGTCTCACCAAAAAAGGATCCAATAGGAGATTTTAAGATCACTGTGCAGATTATTACACAATTGAACTAAAAAAATGGAGGTGAGTTTGTTACCCGGCTTTCTTGGGTTTGGTTGGATAATCTGGACCTGGTGATTAGCAGGTGATGTCAACACCTTGTAAAATGACCTTTTTGCTCATCTGATGTGGATCCTTTCCTTTTAATACAAGTTGGCAATTTTTGGCCAACATTGAGCATCTCTAGGAGTCTTTAAGTGCAGCATAACTTATAAGCTTTCAAAGCTGCCTCCAATGGACTGACATTGACAGTAGACTCCCAATGAGAGTATGGTTTTCACTTAAGTTACACAATGAACCTCATCTGCTGCTAAATTACTCAAAAAAGAAGATGTAAAATGTTGTTTACTTTCTCTCCTCCTAGCTTACTGCCAGCAAACCACTGACATGCCCACCACAGGTAAGAACACCTATGAGGTTTATCTGTAAATATGTAAGTACACAATTTTATCTACCAGAAGGAAATCTGTATGACATCACGCTGCTGTCTCTCAGATCAGCCCTCGTGTCGATACAACTGTGGAAGACACATGGGAAGCTGCTCCTGCAGGAGCTCCTGTTGGTACAATGGAAACTGCTGTTATGACTACGACTGTAGGTATCCTGTAATGCAACAAACAGCATGCTGCGTCAGCATAACTGTGTGCAGGGTCTTCGTGAAGAAATATGTTGAAATTTGTCTCGTCAAAAAAGGATCCTATGGAATATTTTAAGATCACTGTGTAGATTATTAGACAATTGAACTAAGAAAAAATGGAGGTGAGTTTGTTACCCGGCTTTCTTGTGTTTGGTTGGATAATCTGGACCTGGTGATTAGCAGGTGATGTCAACACCTTGTTAAATGACCTTTTTGCTCATCTGATGTGGATCATTTCCTTTTAATACAAGTTGGCAATATTTGGCCAACATTGAGCATCTCTAGGAGTCTTTAAGTGCAGCATAACTTATAAGCTTTCAAAGCTGCCTCCAATAGACTGACATTGACATTGACAATAGACTCCCATGAGTCTATGGTTTTCACTTAAGTTACACAATGAACCTTATCTGCTGCTAAATTAGTCAAAAAAGAAGAAGTAAAATGTTGTTTACTTTCTCTCCTCCTAGCTTACTGCCAGTCAACGACTA